CACGAGAACCAGGGCCTGCGATCTGGAAGCTTCGCTCAGTTGTCCGAAGAAAGCCTCATCTACCTCATCCACCTGATTCGGTGGCCTGTAGCAAACACCAACCACAACATCAATGCTGTTGTTTGCTCCTTTAATCTTTACCCATAGACTCTCAAACAGATTTTTCTCCCTCTTTATATTGGAGTTCAGAGCAATCATAGTGCTCTCTTACATATAGTGCAACTCCTCCTTTTCTCCTCTGCCTGTTCTTCCTGAACAGTCTATAACCTTCCATGACAGTGTTCCAGTCATGCGAGTCATCCCACCAAATCTCTGTTATCCCAATTAAATCATATTTCTTGGACTGGGCCAGGGCCTCCAGTTCTTTCTGTTTGTTTCCCAGGCTTCTCGCATTAGTGTACAAACACCTCAGATAACCAGTTGATTGCTCTATCTTCTCCATTCGAATCAGGGGTCCTCCTTTCTTGCTCATTCCTCTCTGCATTTCTTCACGGTATCCGACTTTCCCACTCCCCTCAGGGTTTTGGTCACCGTCCCCCAACGAACCTAGTTTAAAGCCCTCCTCACTAGGTTTGCAAGCCTGCCCGCAAAGATGCTCCTTCCTCTCTTCATTAGGTGGATCCCATTTCTTCCTAACAATCCTTGTGCCTGGAACAGAGTCCCATGGTCGAAGAAACCAAAGCCCTCTCTGAGACACCACCTGCGCAACCACGCATTTACATCCTCAATTCGATGATCCCTGCCCAGTCCTTTCCCTTCAACAGGGAGGCTGGACAAGTACACCACTTGCACTCTGAGTTCTTGGATCTTTCTTCCCAGCGCTACATAATCCGCAGTAACCCGCTCAAGGTCATTCTTGGCCGTATCATTAGTTCCCATGTGGAGAAGCAGGAAGGGGTAGCGATCCGAAGGTTTGATCAGCTTGGTAAGCCTCTCAGTCACATCCTGAATGCGGGCTCCTGGTAAGCAGCACACCTCTCGAGATTCCAGGACCGGACGGCAGATGGATGGCTCAGTCCCTCTTAGGAGGGAGTCCCCGACCACCACCACCCATTGTTTTCTTTTGGAGGTGGTGGCCGTGGAACCCCCATCCCTAGGACTACGCATCCCATGCCTTCCAGTAGATGGTGTTCCCTTCCGATTTCTTCCTTGTGAGGTCTCTTCCAAAGCATTCAGCCTATGGAGAGAGCCTGAAAGCGATTACTTACCTCTATAGCATTGGGGGATTCCCATGCTGGCCTTTTTCCCCTTCTCCAGTACTTAGCCCTGGAGCTATTGCCATTGTTTCTATGCTGAGTCTATCTACATTGACCTCTGTACAATTTTTAGCTACTACTGTTTCCATTCATCCGTGCTGGGTGTGAAAAGTAAGTGTAGTATATTGACACAGTCCAAACGTTGGAATGTGCTGTTTCGTGGTACGTTATTTCTGAATTTGTACAATCATTACGCTAGAGCTAAGGTGTCCTAATGAGCTGTACAAAGAGGAACCGATGGGCAGATCACTACACAAGAAGTGGAAACAGTCTGTTCAGAGTAATTCAAGGATTTAATGAAGACATTATTACCTATCCTTATTGTTAGCTGTGTGGCATTAACCCAAATATGTTAACAGTATTTCCCACTAGGAACATGCTAAATTATGGTAACAAATTATGTTGAATGATTCATTCACTTTGGTAGGCAAACTGGCTAAGGAACCAGGGTGTGCTCTGTTTTGTTTCTTGACACATAACTAATTTTTTCCAAAAGTGTTAACGTTTGCTTTTTTTTTTCTTTTCCAGGCACACTTTCTCCATTGTTCTCAGTCCTCCTTTGGATAGCAGTGGCAGTCTGTACAGCTATGCTGTTCTTCTTCTCCAAGCCTGTTGGTATCCGACCCTTTTTAGTGTCTGTAATTCTCAGGTCTATATACACAATAGGGCTTGGGCCTACATTGATACTTCTTGGTGCTGCTAATGTGAGTACTTTAAACCTAACATAATTTCCATTTCCATAGAAGCAGGCATCTTAAGGGATACTTTAAAAAAAAAGCAAGGTATAATATTTGTATTCTGTTTCACATCTGCTTTTGCACACACTGCTAGCACAACTGGGTCCATGATAGTTCTAACAAGTACTGTATCAGATTAAGTTTCTGTTGAATCACAGCAGCTTTAGATTATATCAGAGCTAGGATGGGATTGAGTAGCTGCAACCAGTTCCCTGCCAGTCTCACTGTCCTAGTCCTCCAAACATACCTGACTAGCACTCAGGTGCAGTGAAGAATCTGGCCTGTAGCTCTAACATCATAGTTCAGAAGTCTGACTGAATATTCTTAAAAGGGTATTCTAACTAAAATAGAGTTTGAAAAAAATAAAGCCATTGAACATATTCACCCTGCGTTACAGTCCTGTTGTTCATTTCATGGTGGCATTCCTACATACTGTAGTGCTGGTTAAGTTCCAAATTCTTTGCAAAGATTTCATTCCCTATTTGTTTTTTAATGTTTGATGGCACGAAAGAAGCCCTAGCAGCCAACTAATGGTATGGAAGTAGATCACAAAGTAACAATATACATTTTGCCGTGACCCCAGGGAACTGACCAATGATATACCTCCTGTATGTGCACTTGCAGACAGGTACCAAAAGTGCAAACACGAAAAAGGGAAAGTTGTTAGAGGCATACAACTAAGGGGGATGATCAGCTTGTCAAGGAACAATACCAAGATGCATGCAGCATGGTTGTCTTTAAAAACATTTCAAGTAGAAAATGTGATTGTGGCATTTGCATGAATTCCTAACTTCCCTGCAATTAGTAACAAATTGAGTAAATACTGACAGAATATTTAGGTACAAAGTCAACTTGAAAAGTTTTTGCAGGAATATTGCTGTGTACAGAGGTGCAGACTTTCTGATTCTCTGGGGGATGCTTCATGACACTCGGCCCCAGGCCCTGTCCTCACTTAAGCCCTTTTCCCACAGCCAGACCCTGCCTTGTTTCTTCCTACTCCCACTCTGTCCCTGAGTGCATCTCACCCTCACTCTGCCTCTGTCTGCCCACCACTGAACAGTTAACCCTTGGCAGGTATGAGATGTTAGATACGGGGGAGCTGATTGGTGAGACCCCCCAATAGAGGGTGCTGAGCTCCCACGGAGTCGGCACCAATGGTGGCATACTCTGAAACAATTTTTGGAGGGGCAAGAGCCAAACCAAGAATTCTGTAGTAAACAGCAGACCACATTCTGATCGCAACGATGCTTTCATAAATCTGGAACAGCTCCATTGGCTTTAATGGAGTTATTTTTGATACACACTTCATAACTGAGATCCAATTGTGGCCCACTCTGTCTAACACTATTGGCACTGAATGCAGCACTAAGATGCAGTATTTTTAACTGGAATGTGTGCCATAGGAACCTGATCTTGCACTCATTGAAATCAATGGGAGAATTGCTGTTCACTTTAATGGGAGAGGACCGGGCTTGAGGCTAAAGTCACTTAATCTATATCTGAAGTAATTTCAATTCCAGGGCTTTGTTTTCTTACCTAACATGTAAGCATGCCTATGCTACACATCTGAGACCGCTATATATAGCCTGTGAATGACAGTTCGCCTGCCTTTGCACCCAAGTAGGGTTAATGTGATTTTGCAGCACCCGTTAAGTATTCTAGGTATTGAATAGAGAGAACAGCTTTAGTAATTTTATCTGGTAGCCCAGTCAATATGTGAAAAAAACCCTAATGGAAGCCATTGCAAAGTAATGTTGTTTAATGTGCCTTAGATGAGATTACATGGTGTCCATGTGCCTATCGAGAATGAAGTGAAAGGGCAAGAAAAGGGTTTTGTAAGGGCTTTTGTACAAAGCGGCTCTGCAAATTGATAGTGAAGTCTGTCCATCTGCACCTGTTGTCTCCTGTTTTATGCTTCGATTGTGAGTTCCTTGGTCTTAGAGAATATCCTTTTTTAATTTTTGCACAGCACCTGCCATCCTGCTGTGTGACTGGGTCTCTGAGGCATTGTCACAGTATGAGTTGCTGCTGCTGATGATCTGATGTAATAAAATCATCCTTTGCTATCTCCCCACAGCTTTGTAACAAAATAGTATTTCTGGTGAGCTTTGTTGGAAACCGCGGAACGTTCACTCGAGGTTACAGAGCAGTCATTATGGACATGGCCTTTCTCTACCATGTAGCATACGTCCTGGTCTGCATGCTGGGCCTCTGTGTGCATGAATTCTTCTATAGTTTCCTGGTGAGTATATGCCTATGGGGAGTGGGAAACCTTGCAAAAATAGAAATTACTGTTACCCCTTGATTTCTTCCTGACAGTCATGCCAAATCATGGGTATTTTTAGCGTACTTTTATGCTGTTGCTCAATAGAAGCTACTGTTTTTGTTGCACAGGTCTACACATTTCATTCCAGAAAATTATCAAACAGCCTTTTCTTTGATCCCATCCAGGGGATACTTCTGACACGTAACCTGAAGACATTTGAAATGTTTCCTTCATTTTCTTCAATTCTACTTACACAGGTGGAATTCCTTTCATAACACAAAACAGGTGTATTGAAAGTCACTCTGTACAGAATATGATCTTCAAACAAATCTAAGCTGAAGAGCCTTAAAAAGCCCTTTTTGATGCGCTGAAATAGTTTTAATCACTATTTTTTTTATTCTGTGATGTGTAAACCTTTTGGACAGATTTCAGAAAATACCTGTACAGGCTTTCACTTTTCATGATACTCTGTTTTATATTTTTCTCAGTTTCCTGACCAATCAAGTTACAGAGTTTTCATATACATCCTCCTTTCAACACTACACATTGTGTAACTAAAGAGACAGATTAATCAAGCTAGCATTTTTAATGTTGGAGACTTCTTTAATCAAAAGAAGTGTGATATAAGCTTTGCATTTTACAGACATAAAACTGGCAGTAAAATCCATTTGTGAAGAATTGTCTTACATAGTTTTTATTTGGTGTAAATTCAGCTGTGATCACACTTGTAGGTAACACCAAAATTATAAGCATAGCAAAGACATCAGATGATACAACCCATCTTCAAAGTGACCTGTGATTGATTTAGAACAGAGAAAGGATACAAGAGATGAAAGGAGGTTCTGTTCTAATAGTGTAAATTCCCACACCCAGGGAGAATAAACAAAGAGCAGGAAGGAAAAATTGGGGACTGCAACCAGTATACAAGGTGTTAAAGATAATTTGTTTTAATTTTGCCTTTATAATATTGCCCTAAAGTTACTATGTTATATGTGGATTACAGTACCTGTCACTGATGCTTTGGAGGAACAGCCTATCAGGGAGGGAGACTGTCTATGAAAGGATCTATGACAAAGTTTTTACTGTTTTCTGGATGACAAATGTTCTTGAATCATTTATGGTATAATTGTAAACATTCCCTAGTTACTGACCACATTCACTTACTTTTGTTCCTAATTTTAGGCTTCATCTGTTATGACATGAATGATAATTTTCTCCTTTATTTCCTCTATTAATCAATCATCTTGCAAAGCTATGGATTTCAGATCTCATGAATTGTGACTATTGACACTTTTGATAAATCATTCTGTGTCATCTCGCAACTGTAATCGGTGTATTTGAGTTGAAAGACGTATATTGAAGATAAGACCCAGAGAATTATAGAACACTAATATAAACCAGAATTATAAAAGGAAAAAAAGTTAAAGTTTCTTGAAACACATTCATCATGAACTTGACACTGAAAGAATGTTAGCCCTATGAATACTCCCCTTAAACCACCCAGTTGAAGCTACAGAATTAAAATTTGTTTACAAGGGTTATACAAAACGGTAAAATTAATGTTAGATTTGTATAACAAAGTATAGCCTGCTAAAATCTGTGTGACTTTTAATACTGAAGTGGCCCCCTCAGCTCAATGGATTTAGGGTTATTCATGTGCATGTTTGCAGGATGAGAGGGTTCAACTGTGTGTATATAGTAGATGGGGCCAAAATGTAAAATTTTAAATCTAGATCTGGACACTTCTGAATATCATGGAAACACTTGGATTTGTTCTAGCACATTATAAATATGGAGGGAAATTACAAAGTTTGGATCCTAATGCTGAATCTTGCCGAAGTCTTTGTCAGCCCATATCTTGATGTACATAATATTCCTATTAAATTGGTTGTACAGTAACAGGTATTCATAAAATTTAACATCATATGCCATATTTTTCCCTCTGCCCACTGATACTGTATTGGGGGAGTTGCATGCTCATGTATCTGAGGTCAGGATTTGGCCCTATGTGTGTTTCTTGAGTTGAGGTGGTATTCCCAACTAGCATTTATCTATTGTCATATTTATTCAGATTTTCCTGCTTTTTTTTTCTAGCTGTTCGATTTGGTGTACAGGGAGGAGACTTTGCTCAATGTCATCAAAAGTGTTACCCGAAATGGCCGCTCCATTATCCTTACTGCTGTGCTGGCTCTCATCTTGGTTTACCTTTTCTCCATTATTGGGTTCCTGTTCTTGAAAGATGACTTCATCATGGAGGTGGAGCGATTAAAAAACAGAACATCTATTGCAGGTCTTGCTTTTACCTCAGATTACCATCATCCTACTGAAATTTAGCATTTCTATGGGGATAATCCTGCTCCCTTTTAAAGTCAGTCTGAGAGGGTTTTTTCAGTTGACTCCAGTGGGAACAGAATCAATGTCACATTGTTCTTCAGTAGCTTAAATCTAGTAGGTAAAATTATTCTGCAAAGGTATGTTTCAGATATAGGCTCATATATTAAAATATTACTAAAATCATGCAAGTTAATTAATTTTCTTTTCCCCCATTCCAATTCACATTGGAAATTAAAAAAAACCAAGCTTTACACACTTCACTATTGCTCAAAAAGAGTAAGTCATAGCCAGTTAAATAGAGCTTTTTAATGCACCTGGCCTAAGTAAAATCAGTGGAGTCAGAATTTTACCCTTAGACCAAAACAAAAAACACCCGGGTTTGTGATTAATTCACTTATAGGCTGATCCATGAATGCACTGAACACCTGATACCTAAAAGGAGGCACTTGGCATCTAGCAGTATCCAGTCAATACTGCACAAACTCTGTACATGATCCAGCCATTCATAACTTTATTTCAAAACTAAATGTTTTCAAACAAAGCAAAGCTGAGCATACTAAGGCTGAAGTGTTAATAAAGCCATTTTAGAGCCATCTGTCAAATGTCTTGAATAAGCCTTGTTTTCCATATTTGGATCACTTGAAAAGGTTGAGCTGGTTTGTATGTAACTTAAAAACTTCTTGGCTGAGATCAAGACTTTGAAATTTAATTTCAGAAGGTTTCTGTGGCCACTATTGAAGACAGGACACCCAATTCTATGAACTTCTGCTCTGATCCAGGGTGGCAATTTCCATGTTATGTTCCCCTTATTGGGTTCTCTGGAGATTGTGTGTGGTTTGTTGTTGTATTAGTGTCATTCATACATGAAAATCTAGTCAAGAAAATATACTGATGATATTAGAAGATGTCATATTAGCAGAATATTGTACACCCAAAAAATCATTTAAAATGTTAGCCTAATAACATTCCTCAGATGGGAAAAAGTCAGAATGAATCAGTTTTCACTGTGTAAACAGCCTGCTATAACTTTGGATTACTATTTGGACTAAATGATTTTTGCCATCATTTTTGCTCCTTAAACTTTCTTGCAACCCGGATTTGAAATGCAGTAAATTGTGTGCAATGCACAGGGTGAAATTGGTTTTTGATAAAATCAAGCTGATGTACACATTTGCCTATTTTGGGACTGTTGAATTAGTGTTTTACTAAAACCCAAACATATGTACTAATGAGTACCAAACAGTTTTGTATCCTTGAAAACTCTTAAATATTCTAGATTCCGAAAGACTGAATATCAGTTCAGTGTTCTGCTTGTCAGCCTTTGCGAATAATTTATCTAGTGGTTTTAAAAAACGGACATTTTCATATCTGGCAGTTGTTTGTTGCTTTGAATACATTTTGTTCTGACTAGAAGTAGCAGCATTTGATGAGAGTCATTCATTTATGAAGATGCAATGGGGAAATAGTTGTGACATACTATAAACTAAGTTTTGAGTTCATGCTGAATACTTGCTTTCTGCTGAGATCTAATTTGTTCTTGTTTTTTTTATAAACCACTAATTAATTTCAAGAAATTTGTGATATTAAACTGCATATCTATGTGCTGCACTCTCCAGCATATGCCTCTGTAAACTATGCTGCTTTTCATTTTGTCAGGTAACGGCGAAGCTCCTACCACAACTCTAACGTCAATGATGGAAACATGTGCAAAAGAAAATTGTTCCACTGCGCTACCTATTACCAACCTAGGTTAGTATGAAAGTTCCCCAAAATGGTGATAAATTTCAAGTGGAAGTGTTTGTAAGTTATTACACAAGAGAGGCTTTTCTTGTCAAGAAAATTGACTGTCATTATTCGAAGTCAGAAGTGACCACATTTTTCTACACTGAGAGCTATGCTGGCAACTTGCCTAGTATGTGAGTGCTTTCACACCTAATTTTCAAATACACTGACAGTTAGTTATCAAAATTAAATGTTAAATCTTAATACTGATTTGTGCAAATATCTTGCTTCTTGCTGAGTTCACAAATCGTGGAAGCCAGCAGCTGATCTGCTTTATCTGTACCATTAGTGAGAAAACAGCTCCATTTTCGGATCTCATAATTTGGTCTTAGAAGTACAGCATATGCCACTGAATGTCTAGATACATTTTTTCTGCAGTCCTCACCTCAGATGCAATTTAACACGAAGAGCTAAGTTAAAGGGACATTGTCAGCATGAAATCTAGTCAATTTAAAAAAAGTTTAAAAGTAGTTTTGTATACTCTACCCCTCTACCACCAATTTGCTTTTAGTGACTCATAACTTTTCTCTTGCTATATGAAAGACCCTCACAAACAACAGAGAAAACTGACTTGACTCTATAGGGGAACTAGTATGCTTATGATAATGTCATGTAGGACTGTATCAAAAGCCTTTCTAAAAATCAAGATCTATTACCTCTATGCTTTCCCACTATTCATAAGGCCAGTAACAGTGTCATTGGAGGGTCATTTGGATTTGTCAAGAACAATATGTTCTATATTGGCTATGTGACTAGGCGATTACAAATTATTTAATTTGTTCCAGTATCTTTCTAGGTGTCAAAGTTAGGCTGAGCAATTCCCTTTGTTTCCCCCTTTTTAATAAGAGATATGGTTTGCCCTTCTCCAGTTCTTAGGGACCCCGTGTGTTCTTGAGGATGCTTGCTTAATGGTTCCAAATTTGCTTCAGCTAGTTCCTTAAATACCCTATAATGACTTCCACCAGGCCCTGCTCATATGAGTACATCTATCTTTAACCTGTTCTTCCCTATTCTGGCATGTGTTTCTTCCTCCTTGCTGTTACTTACTACTCAGTGGGTTAAGCATCTAGTTAACATTAACCATTTTAGGGAACACTGAAGCAAAACAGGCATTAAACACTTACAAAGTAGACCTAGACTTTCCTTTGTTTTTTTTTCGTTTCTACTACATTATAGATCCTTTCTCTATTGTCTTATGTTCCTGGCTAAATGTGAGCCATTTCGTGCCTTAGTCTTTGATTTTTCTCCCTCCCTGCTTGTGATATTCCTTTCTGCTCATCCTTAGCCATCTGTCCATGTTTCTACTTTCTGTAGAATTTCTTCTTTAATGACCTGAAGGATTCAAAAACTTCTGTGGGAGCCATATTGGCCTCTTGTTGTTCTTCCTATCTTTCCTTCATATTGAGATAGTTTGAGGCTGGGCCTTTAATATTATCCCTTTGCAAAAGTGCCAGTTCTCCTTTTTTTCCCCCTTTAGTTTTCCTTCCCATGGGACCTTACCTAGCAATTTTCTGATATTACACGATGATAACACATCTGATGATGTGTTGTTTAGATACTCTAGGAGGAAAGATGGACAAATATGTATATCAAGATAGTACAAGTGCCATAGGTCATTTGGGTTCAGGGACCTGTCCTTCCTTGCTTTGTCTTTTGCTCTGTTGACCTTTATTTAAATCAATATTGATATAAGACATTATCCATAATGTGAATTTTGGTTTGCTGAACCCAAAGGGCTTTCAGTCAGTCAAAGGCATCTCAGAGCCTGAAGTGTGGTGCCTTCGCAGTACAGGCAGTCCCCGAGTTACACGGATCCGACTTATGTCGGATCCGCAGTTACGAACAGGGTTTGCTGCCCGTCTCCCTGGTCTGCTGGAGACCAGCAGACCAGGGAGATGGGGAGCAAAGCCGGGGAGCACGCGGGCAGCGGACAGCCCAGACGCCCCGCCCCCGGCGTCCTCAGAGGCTTTGCTCCCCGTCTCTCTGGTCTCCAGCAGACCAGGGACCGCCCGTGTCTTCCTGGTCTGCTGGGGTGGGGTGGGGGGGCGCACCTAG